TTCCTCCATCGTGAACCCCTGACTGACAAAAAAGGAAATATTGCATGTAATTGTTTGTATACAAAAAGTGAGAACAATCCTGCAGAAATAATTTAATTATTTGTGGTGTTTAAAAAAAAAAACATTTGGGTGGTGGCCGGGAGAGGGGTTATAGCGAGACAAGACATCCCACTCTTAAGTTAAGTCAAATGCTTGTAGTGGTAAAAAGTAAATTTCATGAGTTCGGTCTTTTTGGGATCAATTTCTTGTGTCTGAATCTGACATTCCATTAGGAACATTTGTTCTGGATTTCTGCAGGACACTTTCCAAATAAAGAAAAAAAAAACTTCAAACAAGACTGAACTTCATAAACTGGCAAACACAGATTACAATAATTTTGATTCATTTACAATCGGAAGATCAATGAACACGGACTAAAGATGGATCTTTCCTGATATGCCACAAAAACAAACAAAAAGACACGTTTCAACTCACAAGAACTGAACTGATGGACAATCCAACAATCTCACCAAGCAGTATGGGATGGTCATTCACACTATGATTTTATTTTGTGAGTCGTGATACCATCATTTCAATGGACGTAAAAAATTGTTTCTATTACTGAAACATTCATTTTCCAATCATCAACAAACATCAAGAACTTAAATCTTTGGTGCTAATGTGTTTTGAAGGGTGGGTAGGTGGGTGGGGTGAGGGGGGGGGGGGGAATGTTCAAACGGCGACTAAAACAACCCTTCAAACTGTTACTCCTTTAAGCTCTATATACATATAAAGATATATCATATATATGACATCTCTGTAAATGTGACTCTGGATGCATACGCAGACATCACCAGTAAATGTGTGCAATTTCAGTCAAGCCCTATGTGACAATCGAAACACATCTGAGAAAAGTTTCAAATGGCACCTTCTTCCCTCCCAAAGTAGCTCTACATTTGCCTGTAACAAATACTGTACATACACTACAAACCTCATCCCTGCTCACCAGAAAACAAAAGGGAACTATTTGCTTTTTAAATTTTTTCTTTAATAAATGTATCATTTTATATAAAGACATTCAACAGTGAGCAATGCAATACAGTTCAAGTAATAGACTTAGGGATGTTTGAGTTCCCTATGCAAAACACAAAAGTCTGGTAACAGGGAAAAAAACTAAACAAACAAAAATCTAGACCGTATGTTGACTGAGGGGAAAGAAAGACCATGACATCCATTTGGTGATGATGCTGCATCTAATTATGGGAACCGATGATGTACAAGACTGTTAAAGGTAGGACATTTTAAAAAGTCAATGTCATGGGCCTACATTAATTGATGAGTGACTGAAGTATCCATGCACAAAAACCCTGATTTAACCTGATTTTTTCCCCTCAAAACGCTGGCTTTGTTGTGTGGTAGCTTCTACGGTAAACTTGGAAAAAAGACCTGAGGGTTAATGACCAGAAACTATGATCGAAAAGGTCGTCCGAATCAAATGGGCCTGCATTCCCGATAGCACCTTGAGAGTTAGCAATAGTATGTGTTGATTTTAGATAAACGTGACTGAGGTGCTTCGGATTAAGAAAACAAACAAAAACACACTGGACCAACCTCGCTGTACATTCAAGATCATACTGACAAACCCCGTGAAAAAGCAAAGATAACCTGTGACTTAATCCAAGAAAGCAAAGCTCTGAGGCCGTGTCCAGTTCAGAGGCTCATTTGAAAAAGGGAAGGCTAAACCTGCACCTCTGCAAAAAAGCATTTGCAGATGATTCACCACAGTGTCATTGTAAATTCTCACAATATGGCCATAATAAGATTAGAAAATTAGCTTGTGTATACTTACGGACAGTAAACAAAAACATTGATACCAAACAAAAACAATAAGATGCAAAAAAAAAAAAAAAATCTAAAATCTCATTAAATTTATACAGTTGCAAAACTGCAAAATACATAGTTTGCAATAGAACTGGAAGCCCAACAATCCAAAGATCTACAGAAACGCACATACAAGCCTGAGAAACTCCTTCCCACTGCAGCAGTGTCTTAAAACTTGTATATTACAAGAAGCCCCTGAAACAGGACACAGCTAATCTCCCCAAATTCTTCATGCTGCAAAAGTTACGTTGGGTTTCTACTTATGGCTGCTATTCTTAACTGAACTGGAAAACTTGGGCTGATAGATCAAGTTAATTTGGCACCGATTTTTTGAAGCGGTCTGTCAGACATGACATACAATTTAGCAGTTGAGCCAGTTTTTGTGTAACTTTTGAGCTACACTTCTAAAGGTCTAGAGAAGTGAGTTCTATATACACTTCCATTTTATTCTATTATGACTACTTGTGAATTTGTGTGGAAACTAAACAGACTTGCAGTCTTAAGAGATTTACTGAAGCAGGTTTACACCTTCTTGATAAGCCTTAGAACAGGTCAATTTAGATTTAATACTGCCACACTTAAATATTTTAACCGATTCATCCTGTAGTTTACAAAGAAGAAAGAGAAACTTTCACTACCCATGGCTTTCAGCTCCACAAACCTCACTTCTCCCAGTTTATCTACCTATCGTCAGCAGACTAGTGGGCTGTAATGGAGGGAGGGTTATGGTACATAACAGTGAGCAGACTCCAATAGGTTGTAGAAGACATAGAGATGACTGGAGATAAACACACAGTGGGCACAAACAAGGCTTTATGATTTCTTCACAATAATTCCTTTGCACTTTCCAAAAAATAGCACTCTTTCTAAAACTGGACACTTTCTCTCTGTGCGTTTGTGGCCAAGCTTATCAAAACTGGGAAAATCTTAAAGATGACAATAATAGAGAGGGGTGCTTTGTCTAACTTTGCAACCAGTCTTTTTTTTTTTATTAGATGCTCTTTCCAGTTTAAAAAAAGGCTAATGCCTAACCAGTGTGATTAGTTTTAAGAAGAGGATTAGAGTGAGTTGAGAATCACATCTCTGCTTTTTCTTAAGCGTTCTCTTAACCTTTGATTTCATTACGACCTTTTAAAAGCTCCATATTATCAGTCAGGCAGTGATAAGTCAACTTGATCACTATGAGAAGATGCTTTACTGTGCCGTGTATTCATTTTCTGGGGGGAACAGAATCTAACTTGGTCGTGTATTGTAGCTCTCCTCAGTGTTTGAAGATATTTTTCTTTTTATCGAGTCGTTGACAGAAAATGGATCCACTGGTTAGAAAGTCACGCAGAGAGCATGTCGTTTTGGATTCAAATAAAAGCCAAACACTATCAGCAATCAGACAGAAAGGGAATTTCACTCCAACAGCTTAACTGTGATTATCTCCAACTTTAGTGCATCTCACACTAACTGCTGAACTACATTAAACACAAAGCTAGATTGCACGTTCTTTCAAGTTTTCAGATTTTCTTCTAAAGCCTGTATCTTCAGCTCAGGACATGGACTTTGTGTGCCTGTGCTCCTTATACATAAACATTTAGTAAAAGCTTATTTTTTCTGAAGGCGTTCAAACAAAAACACCCCAGTTTTTCAGCCTGCAGTCACATTGCATTAGCTCTTTTCTTTGTTTAAACCACACATAAAATGGGTTTCAGCTTTTATGGCAACATTTTTCACCAAGCTTAGCCTTTCAAAGGCTGGAAAATGAACCCTTTACCAATTTACCTTAATGTGCCTTATGCTTTTGCCAGACCAAATTAAAAGTGAAATTTTGACGTCCCAATTATATAGAAAGATAAAATCAAAGAAGCAAATTGGCACAAATTTATGACAGGTAATGCAAATGAAATCATTTTTGCATAGGGGAAATTCACACTACTGTGCTGTAGATTTAGTGTCACCATTATCACAGTTTGTAAGCAGCTAGGCCGGATGATTTCGGTTAACCTTTATACTGATGCATGAAAAAAAAAAGAAAGAGCTTGGAGGAAACTAAGCAAAAACGTTTCCATTAATTTCAGCTATCAGTTTGTCTCAGGAGGAGAAAGAAATTTTTGGGGGTTTGAAATTAGCCAAAAGATGCCATGTAGCTTTAGCTGCTAATTACACCTCCTTTGACTCATCCACTTTGGCGTACACAGCCAAAACTTTTTTAGCGCTGAGATTACAAATGGAGCTTGTTTGAGTGCTTTGAAGGTTGTGGGGTTCATGTACCCTTTGGTTTATAAAAAAAAAAAAGTATATTTGTCACCAAAGCACACGGCCTGAAACTCATTTTTATGTGTGGCCTTAAACACATCATTGCTTATCTTCACACATTTGCATTCACCAAAGATAGGACAATTAAATAAAGAAAGAAAAACCCAACAGATGCTTTATCCTCCCCCTTCACACCAACTTTGGTCTCTGGTTGTGATTTGTTACCATTTACACATACTGTGGTGTGAAAAAGTATTCTTCCCATTCCTGATTTTTTTTCTTCTTTCAAAAACACATTTGTCACGCTTTCATGTTTCAGAGCCTGTAGTTTTAATCTTAGATAAGGACAGCCTGAGGAAATACAAAATTCAGGTTTTAAAATATTTCAATTTTTAAGGACAAAAAGCAGCTATCCAAACCTTCCTGGCCTGGATCATGCCCATAGATTCCATTTTTGCCCTGTCTTATTGGTGAATCATGCATGCTGACCTGAACTGAGGCAAGTGACGTCTGTAGTTCTTTACATGCAATTTTTTTATGAACCCCTGAATAAGTCGTTGATGTGCTCTTGGAGTAATTTTGGCAGGATGGCTACTCACGAGAAGGTTCACTATTCCAACCTTTCGCCATGGTTCGCTGGATTCCCTTAGAAATATCTTTGTAGCCGTTTCCAGACAGACAGACGTCAATGACTTTGTTTTTCATCTGTTCAAATTCCTTTAGATCGTAGCATGATGTCTTGCTTTTATTTTTTCTAATATACTTTAATTCACAACTTCCATATCTGGCAGTAAACTCATGAATTATCAAGGGTGGAGGGCAATTCCTTTTCTCTTTTACAGAGAGACATGTAGGTTATAATTGTTTTCCTTTAATAAATGAACTTCATTTTGCTCTTACTTGGATATTTAGTAATATTTGTTTGATAATCTGAAACATTTAAGTGTGACGTGTGACATGTTGCCCCCCCCAAAAAAGGGTGGTATAAATACTTTTTCACAGGACTATAATAAAAAGCAATGTTAAAAAAAACAACAATAAAAACAAAATAATTAGTTCATACAAGCAAGGCTTCAGTCTTTGAGACAAAAAATAAAACAAAACAAAAAACTTCTGTGTCACTTGTGCACCTCCCTCCCCCCAGATCCCTCAGCAGCAGCAGTCTACTCTCTCTATAACACCTAGTGCTTTGTCTTTTATGCTACATCGTTTTATCTTTTTGTATGGAGAGGGACAGAGAACAGACACTTGACATCATTTCAAAGTAAGTGAAAACAAAAAGGAAACCTCTTAAAAAAAAAAAATCTCCAAAAATATATTTCAAAGTTACACCATCTGATGAAAAGAAAAGGGAGGAAAAAATGATGGGAACACAGAAAAAGTCTGATGGGAATGTTTTGTTGTCATTCTTGTACTTTAGAGTTTCTGGTATAAAGTCTGAGCTGGAGTTTAGGTAGCAGCGGGATCAACCTGAAACTCTGACGTCTCCTACTCCATTTCCTTCCTTCGGTCACTTTTGTTTTCACATTCACAAACATTTAAAACTTCCTTGTGCAAATCAAGCAGTCTTTAGAAAGAATGCCCTCCAAAATTGTTCTTGTAAAAATATATAACTCCAAGGTGGCTGATGTGTGTGTTGCAGCAAATGTTAAAATTGTATCGATGTTCATCAGGTCTGGACACAGGGTTGTTTTGTAATTCAACCAATACCACCACCACCCATTAAGCTTCATAACACTCCCTTTTCTCCTTTATCCTGAAGACGGTAAAATGTGTTGTCCTTCTGGGGGTAGTTGTTTAGCATCGTTGGTTGGGGTTCATCTTCGTCCAGAGGGCATCTGTGCGTAGACAGGGTAGGCAAGGCGCACATTGAGTGAGTCATTGTGCTGCACCAGGGAAGTCTGGTGGTAGTGGAGCACCAGGTCCTTCAGGCTGCTGTAGAGGTTGTATGGCTCAGCAAAGCCAAAGCCGCGGGGTGTACTGTAGATGACACAGTGCTTCACCTCCCCTTCCACACTTAGGAGACACACAGGAGAGGTACTTTAGTTAAGACTGTTTTAAGGTTAAAATTTGTCATTCAATGCTTTCTTTCTGCATTTTCAGTTTCTTCCAGCTAGCTTTGTTCTACTACTAAAGTAAACTCCCAGGGATAAAAAAAAAAAAAGGAAATCATATCAGTTTTATTATTTTGGTTACATTCAGTATTTTTTCAAATGTTAATTTAGTGTAGTGATTTAAGAGTTTTGAGTCAGTGGACTTGTTGGTTCCGTGAAAAATGACCTTTTTCATTAATTCTCTCAAACTACTACTTCCCAAGAGGAAGCATCTTATTCAATACTGACGTTAAGAAAAATAAACATTTTGGAATCAAACCTTCCTGCTCTCAGAGTTCACTCAGTATCTAACAAAAGTTTGGGTTGGGGGAAGACAACAGCTAACAACAACACTACTTTAGAAGATCAAATCTCTGCATTTTAAAACATATTTTGTACTTTAACATCCTCCTGCCTCTGGCTCTTCTATTATCTTGTTATAGCATGCTTTTAAACTGACTTTTACAAAGCTACCATGTTATTGGGTTCAGTCTAAATATATAGACATGGACATATAAGTGGCTTTATTGTAACCATCGACTATAGGTTGCCATGGAAATAGAAAGCAATCAGCATGTAAATCACTGAGTTTTTTTCCCTCCCACATGCTGTGAATGCATCATTAACCCCCTGTCTGAACTGGAAGATTTTCTACGCGACACACTTTGCCCACAGTACCAATGGGGGTCAAGACATATCACAATGTATATCGTGTATCGCGATATAGCTAAAAAATATTGTGCATTACATTTTCCTCATATCGCCCACCTCTACCACAGTTTTGTGTCCAAAAATGTTTTTTCGGTTCCCTCAAACGCACACTGTGAATCACAGTGTGCCGCAGACTTAAAAACACCCTATCATCATCTTCAATAAAATAATCAGCTTCTTTTCTGAAGCATTCAAATATTTCGTGTCTTAAAGATGTACTGCAAAAGCATGGTGCTATTGAAAAGCCTGAGAGTAAATAAAATTAAAAGTTGTAGCTTTATTGTAACTTCGATTCTATTTTAACAACTTTTTATGTATATAATACAAATGCCTAATGTTGTTGTTGGCACTGGTGTTTGTCTCGATATGCAATATTTTGAAAGGTGTCCCAACATTTTGTCCTTGTGTACAAACAAGGAGGACAAAAATGTCACTCTTGACTTCATAAAGTATGGGTATGTAAAGTAAGACGCACATCACTTCAGTCATGTGTTGCATGTACTCACACTACAGAGCAGGCATAGCACCCTTTTTTGCTGCTTTCTCGGATAAGAAAAGCTCCATCTGGCTTCCCCAGGAGCAGCTCCTCTGCCTGTGTCCTGTTCAGATCCCCCACAAACCAGTTCTTCTCATCATAGTGAGGCAAGTTCTCATCTTCCTCACTCACAAAGTAACCTCTGCAACCACATACATATGCAATACATTGAGAAATTGCACCAAAGAAATAATATTTCTGCTATTTAAATTAACAGTTGCTCTAAGTAAGTAAAGTAACAGTGTTTGGGTTGCAGCAAAGCAAGTAGAGACTCACTCGTCTGTGTTCTCGTTCTTGATTCCCAGCCAATCATTAATTCGTTTCTGACGAACTCCTTTATGATTGAGCCAGCTAAAGAGAAGTAGAGAGAGAGAGAGAAGCATTGTTACTGCTAGGAATCGGTTTGAAACTTTGAAATTTGTTTATGTTAGAGTGAACCGGCACAAGACTGAAATTGGCAAATGTCCTCACAGAATAATTTGGGATGTTCTGCTGAAACACTGCTTAACTTGTTCCTGGAAATAAAGCAGGCGCTCTGATATCGAGTTGAACTGGACCTTCCCTAAACTAAAGCAAGTTTCTGATTGAGCCACTTGATGTGCTTTTGGCTCTAGAACTATGATGAGTCAGATTTTCTTTGATGTCCATATGACAATCAATAAAAAACAATTATTTCATCGGAAATGATTCCACTAATGTTTGAGGTTTTTTTTGACCACATCTACTAACTCCCCATTTGACTTTCAAGTGTGTGTAGCTACCCCACAGATGTACAGCATGAACAATATAAACACATGAAAACCAGGATCCTGTTCCAGGTCAGTAGGTTTTTAATGCTGACCTGCTTTGACCTGCTTTCTGTACTAATGCCATTGCTCGTGTTTTTCTCTCGTCTTTGTATGCTTACACTAGATACTGATCCCTGATTTTGCGGAGCTGTATGAGATCAGGCTTTAGGCTGTTCATCTTTTTGTCTGTCTCCCGGTTGTCCATGGCTTGCGTCTTTAGGTCCTGCTCCAGCCGCACCTTGCTGTCGTGGATCTCTCCGAGGCGAGATTTAAGCTTTTCATAGTTCATCATGATGCGCTCAATCTCTTTATCATTGCTCTCACGCCTAAAACGCTCAATGTAGTCCTTGCTGTAGCGCTCCTGCGTGTGGCATTGCTCCTCGAAAATCTTGATGGTTTCATTGAAGGCTTCAATAGCTGTTCGCTTCATCTGGATCTCCTGCAGGACAAGATGAATAGTTGACACACAAAAAAAGCCCCAAAAAACAAACAAACAAACAAAAAACAGACATGCAAAAAAAGCAACGCATTTGTTAGACATGAGTATGAATATACCTGTGATGTCTTGGTGTACTCTTCATATAGTCTGTCATATTCTTTGCTTTTCTCCTGGTACTGATTGTGGTATTCCTGCAACTTCTTCCCCACTGCATCGATGTTGTCCTCCTTCACCAGCTGGTCCTGAGAGTCAGTCGGAGAAAGGAGCATTAGAGACAGAGTGACTTTCAGAAACTGACAAGGAAAAAGCTGGAGAATAAAATCAAAAGCCATTTGTAATAAAAGGCCAAAAGAAAAAACAAAAATGCATGCACACACACTTATTCCCATTAGCCCCGTTTTCCTTACTGAGGGTGACTCCTGTACAGGCTCGTTAATAAACCACCCACAATGCCCCAGGTGTAAGCCCAGCTGTGCATTCTGGCTAATCTTGCATGGTTCTGAGTAATGACTGGCTAAACCTGTCCTTTCATCACTGATGCATGCAATTGAGTATGTCATAGGAGCCGGCCGAAAGGGCAACATTTCAGTGAGCAGGTATCATGTAGCTGCTGCTGCAGTTTAAAGTGGAAACACTAAGAGCCAGTCATTGGGTATAGAGGGAAGCTTGTTGGTGGTGTTCAAGAGGATACTGTTAGAAAAACTATCAAAAGATTATGAGGAGGGAGTGTACCTGCTGGAAGCGGGAGATGGGGTACATGAGCTTGACATCCAGCTTGGTGTTGTATTGAGCCAGTGACTCATGTCTGTAATGGCTGATGAGCTCCACCACTGAGCTGAAAGTCAGGGGGTCAGAGAAGCCGTACTTCCCATCTCTGTGGTAGATCTTTATCAGCTTGTTATTGCCCCCTTTCCTGAATAACAGAAAAACAAACAAAGGCTTAAAGAGACAGGCAGTGCATTCTAATAAACAACAGACAGGTTGTCAATTTATATACACGTCTTCAAACATTTGAAGATGTGGTGTACAAATATTTATACACCATAGCTTCTATAACACCTGGGCATGGTATGACTCCAAGGCGGGATCTTTGGTTTTTCCTGACCTGCCCGTGTCAGGTTAATGAAGAAGAAGAAAAAATAAATAAATCACATCTTAGCCACCAAACACTCTTTGCTAAACTATGCATCAGAGAATGGCTTCATATTTCCTGCCACCCTGCCCCTAACAAAAACAAAAAAAAAAACAAAAAAAAAAAAAAAAAGCAGAAAGAAGGTAGAACTGAAACAAGGCTAAAATATGTCACCAGGTTTGAAAAGAAATAATCATACAAAGTCTAAACAGAGAATTATACTAAATAATTCAAGTTAAAAATGTATTTCCTAAACAAACATACTTATCCTATGGTAGTGTACTGAATTGTTCTGCTGTCAGTTGACATCATTAACAGGTTTTATTCATTTCTGTCTGAAAGTCAAAAGATGAACTAGTCATTAAAATTACGTTCAGTCTGAGTTATCAAGGGACACACAGTGAAACAAAACAAAACAAAACAAAAAATACACAGAGGTAGAAAATAATTCATTTTAAGCATGTATTCTATTCCATCAAAACACATCAGATCTCAGTGGGGGGGAAAAAAAATGCTAATTTCTATACTGTTATAGGCTGGGTAATCTGCTGGGAACAAAAGGATACCACGCACTTTGATGAAAATGAAAATTCTCAGCTTTCAGAGGATGAAAGTAACAAAATAACGCAGTCAGCAAGTCAGTTTTTTTGCAGCAACTAAAAATGATACCCAGTTTTTATGGCTTCCACGTGCTTGTATGCATGCCTGATAACATCGGGGCATGCTCCGAAATGAGTTGACAGATGGTGTTGGATGGGAACTCTCCTCCCAGATCTGGAGCAGGGCATCATTAAGCTCCTGGACAGTCTGAGGTGCAACCCAGCCACGCTGGATTTAGGTCAGGCAAGCATGACTATGGTATCAATTCCTTCATCCTATAAAATGACTTCAGGTGGCTACTGTTGTGGTTTCGTCCTATATAACTAAAACTGAATTGAATGATATCCTTCAGGAATTGCCACCAAGCTCTTGCCACATGAGGCTGGGCATTGTCCAGCACCAGGAGGATCCCAGGACCCACTGTACCAGCATAGGGTCCTGGGGGCTTGGACAAGTGGTCCGAGGACTTCATCCTGATGCCAAACGGCACTCAGTGTGCTGTTGCCCACCCAGTGGAGGTCTGTCAATCTCTCCTTAGGTTTGGCTCTTCAGACTGACCCACCACTAAACTAGTCATGCTGATGTTACAGTCACTCAGGGTGAACCTGCTCTTATCTATGAAAAGCCCAGCTCAGACTCCACGGTGCCAAGCAGTGAAGTCCATTTCTGAATGTTTGGCCAGAAACATTCACACTAATGTCCTCCATGCTCTTGAGATGTTGGGAGAGACAGCAAACCTAGCAATTGTACACATTGATGTGTCATCCTGGAGGAGTTGGACTCTAACCTTAACCCTCTATAGGGGACTTGGTATCATCTCATGCTACCAGTAGTCACACTGACACTAGCCAAACAAAAACAACGATTAGAAAAGATGAGGTGGGAAAATATGCCTATAAAACCATTCTTCTTTTTGGGCATTTTCTCATTGTTGCCCCTCTAGTGCCCCTGTAGTTAATTTCATTCAAATCAAAGCAGCTGAAATTGACAAACAACCCCCTCTGCTACTTAAATGACCAAATCAAATTCCCAGAAGCTTAACTGC